TTATTTAATTATGAAATATTATTCTTTTGTTCAACCTTGTTTAATTATAACACAACCATTCAATTAAATCGTTCATTCATTTTTTTCAAAGAAGATGTCGTAGTCTTCTCTATTCATTCGGTAATATGATGAGTCACTTTTCGTTCAGCATTAAAAGTGACTCACGCAATAAATGAAAATAAAGTAAATAGTAAATAAATTATTGGAATGTTAGACATTCAGTAAATGATTGATAACTATTAAACGTATTCAACAACGGAAGATAAATCAATATATAAAACAAACATTACTTTGGCTCGGCTGGGCACTAACAAATGGGACAACTCTGAATGATTAATTAAGAGTTTCATATTTTATAGGTTTTTCTATTTTATTTAAAAAAACAGTGTGTCTATTAATACTTGGTCCCTGGTTTTTGAAAATAAACCAACATATCTTCCAAAACCCCGATTATTTGGGGGATTTTACTTTAACAAGTAAACTTTATATCAAAAATAAAACAGCTTAATTTAGTCTGGTCCCTGGTTTATGATTTGGTCGCTGGTTTTTTATATCTGTACAGTTATTTAAAAATTGGTAAATTTTAAAAATGGGATTTATTAGAAATGTTAATATAAACATATTTATCCAATATGACATTTACATGACAACATCAATATTTTTTTAAAAAAATATCAAAATTAGTTTGTTTTATAGAAATATAACAAATAAAGTTGTTTTTAATTTTTTCAAATTGTTTTTTAATTCAAAGTATATTAACATAAAACAATCACCACAATATAAAAGATATATTTTCATTCCAAAAAAAACTTAAAAAATAATGATGATGTTTTTGATGCTGTTGGTTTATATTACTCGAGTTAAAAGCTTATCTTGTTTATTTAATAATAAAATAAGCACTGACTTAACGATTGACTCAAATTGCGAAGTGATTGGAAAAAATATTGAAGTTGGTAATTATACCAATTCGTTGCCTATAACTTTCACATTAATTGGTACTTCCAACGTTTACACAACAGGAAATTTACGTGTAACAGGAAATTCAACTTTCATAATGAAAGACCACACCAATTTTACTGTAGTTCCAAACATTATTCTTATTGGTAATTCAATAAACATTTTCGAAGGAAATTCGTTGATTCAAACTTTTGCATATTTCGAACTTTATGGTAATGCAAGTGTTATTGCTCGAGGACACTCAACGTTGTCAACAACAAACAATTCCCAATTTAGTGTTCGTGGTTATTCGAACTTGTTATTGGAAGAAAATGCAACAATCTTTTCTGAAAAAAATATTAAATTTGTCGATAACTCAACGATATTTGTTCGTGGATATTCCACTGTCTTTGCTCAGCAAGGTCTTTTTATATATTCGAGAGCAAATTTAACAATGAAAGAAAATGCAAAATTGGATGTATTGGGAAATATTGAATTAAACAGCAACACGTTTAATGAAATATATGGAAATGTGTATATAAACTGTGGTGGTAATTTTAATATGACCGGGAGTAATATTATTACATTTAAAGATAACTCTTTCATGACTGTTGGAAAGATTACGTCAATCAAAGAAAACACTATATTTAGAATAACAAACAATGCATCATTTATATCTAAAAATGAACTATTACTACAAAACTATTCAACAATTATTTTAAGTGAAAATTCGAAAGTTGTTATTGAAAATGGATTAAAATTAAGTGGGAATTCATTTTTGTCGATGAATAATAATTCACAACTTGATGTTAAAAACGAATTTTTAATAAGTGATGACTCAACCTTAAGTCTCACTGAAACTTCCAAATTAAAAACTACAACATTGAGTACAACACACGGAAAAATTGCATTTAAATATGGCAATACAAACATGATACATATTTATGTTGAAAGTCAAAATATGAACTGTTTTTCAGGAATAATAGTGGTCGAATATCGTTTATATTTAAACATATCAAACAGTTTAAATCTAAATAACTGTGAATTAAATATCTATTTCAGAACGATAAGAGATACTCCACTGTTTTTTACAAAAATGGTTAATATGCTGAATGTTATTTGTAATTATTTAGATGTTGATTTGATATATACAGAAATACCATTCATTGGTTCAACACCATTGTGTGTCAGTAAATTGTTGAACAACAAATTGCTTAGATTAGGCAATTCGAAAAAATATTTTGTCATGTAAAAATTCATTTAAAGTTTAATG